AAAAAAAACACTAACATGACATATGTTTCGAAGTACAACTTCTTTTTCAAATGTGACTATTTACAATTCGGTATCCAATATATATACGAAATAATTTAACAAAACAAAGTACTTAAGAAAACATCAATAACATTACAAAATAAACTAACTATTTAAAGTAAATAAGGGTACTTAGGTAATTATAATATCCATCAGATAACAATAAGATAGCCCATTACCGGGATTATCTCACAGAAAACTGGGAAAGAGATTTAATAAGGGTGAATTATTAATATCTAATTGATCATTTAGTAAGTTATCTGAATTTTTAAATCTATTTATTTCAAGTGTTTCTAAATGGTTTAATTTAAGGCTCTTATTTTCTACATGTAAAATTTCAAAGTTGTCTGTAAAAGAATGATTTTCAGCTAAAATATGATTTGAATAAGTAGAATTATTTTTGTTTTTTGTATAGCTATTATAATGTTCGGAATAGCGTTTTTTGAAAGTACGGCCTGTTTGACCAATATACAATTTTGGACAACTACCACAATTTAATTTATATACCCCCGATTTATTATTAGGATTAATTTTACCTTTATTGTTTTTAATATACTTCCCAAGCGTATTATTGGTTTTAAAAGCTACGTTAATATTTTGGTTTTTTAAATATGATGATACCTTTTCACTAGGAGCTCCTATATATGTAAGACTCTTATATCTGCAATTTGGATCTTTAATTATGGGATAAACTTGTTGAATAGCCTGTTTAAAAAGTTTTTTCTCTAAAATGTTGTCTACTAACTTTGAATTAAAATTATTATTTACTGCGATTTGTTTAATGATATTTAATTCTTTTGTGAAGTTCTCTTTGGTAAGGGGAATATTAACTAATCTATGGATCATACTGTTGTATGCTGCCAGCTTTTGTTTGTATGGATGAGATGAACTATTATTTATTGTAATATCCGTATGTGATGGCTTATGAAATATCCCAAAACTATGGCCTTTATTATTTTTAATAATATTTAAGTCTAAAAAATTAATTGAATTATCCTTCTCTGTTTCCATAGTAAATTTAATATTAGGGTGTATAGTATTGATAAAAACTAATAAAGAATTTAACTGTCTACTAGTACCAGTAAAAGCAGTCAATATATCATCAACATATCTATGCCAATACAGACAATGTTTACTTAAATTATTGCTATGAATTTTATTTTCTATATTATCCATAAATATTTCTGCAAGCAACGGGCTTAATGGGTTCCCCATAATAAGACCTTCATTTGCTGAGTAGATGTTATTTTGAAATTGAAAATAATTTTGTTTTAGGCAAATGTTAAACAAATTTAGGAGTTCATCTCATCCATACAAACAAAAGCTGGCAGCATACAACAGTATGATCCATAGATTAGTTAATATTCCCCTTACCAAAGAGAACTTCACAAAAGAATTAAATATCATTAAACAAATCGCAGTAAATAATAATTTTAATTCAAAGTTAGTAAACAACATTTTAGAGAAAAAACTTTTTAAACAGGCAAATTGCAGATATAAGAGTGTTATATATAGGAGCTCCTAGTGAAAAGGTATCATCATATTTAAAAAACCAAAATATTAACGTAGCTTTTAAAACCAATAATACGCTTGGGAAGTATATTAAAAACAATAAGGGTAAAATTAATCCTAATAATAAATCGGGGGTATATAAATTAAATTGTGGTAGTTGTCCAAAATTGTATATTGGTCAAACAGGCCGTACTTTCAAAAAACGCTATTCCGAACATTATAATAGATATACAAAAAACAAAAATAATTCTACTTACTCAAATCATATTTTAGCTGAAAATCATTCTTTTACAGACAACTTTGAAATTTTACATGTAGAAAATAAGAGCCTTAAATTAAACCATTTAGAAACACTTGAAATAAATAGATTTAAAAATTTAGATAACTTACTAAATGATCAATTAGATATTAATAATTCACCCTTATTAAATCTCTTTCCCAGTTTTCTGTGAGATAATCCCGGTAATGGGCTATCTTATTGTTATCTGATGGATATTATAATTACCTAAGTACCCTTATTTACTTTAAATAGTTAGTTTATTTTGTAATGTTATTGATGTTTTCTTAAGTACTTTGTTTTGTTAAATTATTTCGTATATATATTGGATACCGAATTGTAAATAGTCACATTTGAAAAAGAAGTTGTACTTCGAAACATATGTCATGTTAGTGTTTTTTTTTTTTTTTTTTTAATTTTTATTTTTAAAATAAAAGTGTGAAAATCTACCAAATTTGGTTTTACTCTTTCAAAGTTCTGTTATAAGTTGTTCATCATTTGTGATGATAAGATCTAAAGTCTATTCAAATTTAATTTACGCCTGATGTAAACAGAAGCAGGTTGACGCTAAAATTGAGCAGGGCCGTATTTTACTTTTCCGTCTTGCAAAAATGTAAAATAAAAGAGTGTAATTGTGAAATTATTTTTTTTTATTACAAAAAAAACATATTTTGTAAACTAAAACTATAAAATAAATGCCATACACGGTCTCCCAGACTTTAGTGACATTTCTGGACGAAGATAGGTGAGCGACATAAACTGCGTTAACCAGCAATACAAATGAATAAATGTATTTGACTTTAAAAGAGATGTTTGCATTATATTTAGTTCATTACATATGTCTACTGTGATACAGAACAATCTTCCTTACTTGACTTAGCACTATTCTGAATTGGATAAATTAGTTAGACTTGAAGGGCTATCTTCATTAATCAAAATTACAAGTGGTTCTACCTGAACCGCTATAATATTATTCAACTCCCACATTTTTACTTCAACTTTTTGGCGAACATGGTCGATACACTTTTTCCATTTTTCTGGAAAAATTATTAATATTACTTCTTCAAAAAGAATTTTAATGTCTCCAGATTTAAATGTTGAGTTTTTATCTGCTACGTATTGTTTAACGTCAACCTAGATTAATTCAATAGGGTTAAGTTCACAATGATACGGAGACAGGTGAAGTATTATGTTGTTTTGCTGCTTAGCCATTTCATCTATTACATACTTATCATAATGTTTATGTTGCTTACCAAGTTTTAGAAGTTGGATCTTAAGCATTTGGTAGTCGAATTCAATTTTTTCCCTTATAGCCATTTTTAAATATCACCTTTTTTAGACGTCGTTGTAGGTATTTTTTCCAGCTTTCTCTAATAATAATGCAGTTATCTTCTAATTTTGATAGGGTGTTTGAAAACCACTCTTTGAACGATTCTCCACACATTTCTTCATGGTAGTCACCGGATTTTTCAACTCAAATACATAAAGTGCATTAGAGACAAAGCCTTCTTCACTTCCAATATGGCATATAATGAGCTGTTTTTACGCACATACCTGATGAGTTTTTAAAACCAGTTAAAAGTTCATCCAAACAGGCTTGTTTGGATGATAAAATATCGAAACATATTTTTGATTTGGTGTGGCCTGCGTTAATCCAAGTCTCATCAAGATAATATATTTTTTGCTTTTCTTCTCTGTACCATTTTATTTTTTGTGGCGTAGGACGAAACAATTTCATTTTTGTCTAATAGCAAACTATTTTTTCCTCGAGTTTTAAATTTAAAATTAAGGGTTTTGAAAAGCTTGTAAAATGTAGCTCGCTTAAAAGTAGACAAATATGGATCATCGTTGACTTCTTATAAAACCTTATCGATTGTTGGAAGTAAATTTCTAAAGAAGAATTGATGTACTTTGCGCCTTATTGCATTTTTATCAAAATCATCCACAGAGCCACTAATTTGTTTATAACGTAGCTTTCTTTTTGGTTCAGAAAATTTATGAATCTGCCTATACTCCTTCATAACATTAAAAACGGTTTTAGCGCACATCCCTGTTTTAACAGCAACATATCAGGGTTCTATAAAATTTAATACTTATAATATTAAGAACCATTTCTTTAGTACGGATGACCAAATGTCCCTTTTTCGGTCGCTTTTTAGAAGGAGTAAAAACATTTTTCTGGACTTTATCTGCTGTATCTGTGGAGGACATAGTGTCACGCAGCAGTTACAAAATATAGTCAATTAAATGTCCATAAAATAGAGTAAAAAATGTTCAAACTAACAACAACCACAAAAACAAAACAAAAATAAATAACACAATATATGTATATCTAAACTATAATATAATGAATTATAATCAATCAAACATACAAAATGTCCAAACTAACCAACACGGTGAATGCTACCAAAACGCCGTTTATAATTTATCCAAATTGAACTGAATTCGACTCTGACAAAAAATATTTGCGCGTCATCTAAATGACTAACGACCGATTAACCAATAGAAGCGCAAAAAAAATGTCACGTGAGCTGTTGCTGGATGGGAGAGATTGTTTTGACGCGGCGTAAATGAAATCTGAATAGACTTTAGAATTGTCACACATAAACTGCGCACCATAAATGCTGTAGATCAATTTTGACTTTACATCAAAAATGATAACGAATGACATGCAATTAGTCAATTACGTGATCATTTGTAAATGTCAAAATTGACGTCTTTCCTAAAAATTGCTTGCCATTTTTTGCAATTTGTGTCAAAAAGTGTCAGTTTATACATTAAGGAAAATATTAGTTTTTTATAAATTTAAGGATATTTCTAAAAAATTTGGAGAGCAGTAGCCACATTATTTAAAAGTTAATTTAGAGGGTAATATTATTATATAAAAATTCAAGGTAGTTGCCATAGGAAATAACACAGTAACGGTAGGTGACTCGAAAACAAAAGAAAATTTAGATTTTTTTTTCTACAAAAATATTCTTTATTTAAAAGTCATTTTCAGTTTTTTTTTAATAACATAAAAAACTGCAGAAATCTTATAATTTTAAAAAAAGATCCGAGTTTAGCATCAAAATCTATATACCATTCCTCATTTAATCGACCCTCAAATTTTGGAATATAATTATTATGTTATTATATTATGCAGTTTAATTAGAAGTATTTTTTTGTTTACCTGAAAATTCATTTTCGATGGCCTCTTCAATTGGATGTCCAATCATAGAGTCGTATTTATCGATAATGAGTCTCAATTGATTTCTATTTCTAATACAAAGAATGGTATTGAAAATGGATTCTCTAGTTCCCCAAGAAGCTTCTCCTGCATCATAAAGCTTTTGTGCGTCTGCAAGAGCAGCATCCTTGTCAACTTGGCCTGATTCATTTCTACCACCCTAGAATACAAGAAAAATGTGTAATTATTTATAAAATATTTATATAATATATATCTACAGGGTGTTAGAAATAGGCAACACCCGCATAATTTTAACAGGTGATTAAGGAAACAAAATGGGATAAACATTATTGATAGTTCTAAAATCGTGCTTTATATTCTTAAAAATATATACTTTTTTAAATAATAATCATCCATATCTCGAAAAATAGAAAATTATTGTTTCAACGATCAGTAACCAAATGACAGCCAAATATCAGAAACAACAGTCGTCTCGGTCGCGTACTTGCATTACGCGCCGGTATTTACTATTAGACAATTTTGTGGTTGAAAGACGGGCAAAACCTCGCAAAACTTCTATTTGTTACTTACCAATTTAACCTACCTGTTATGTTAACCAAACGTAATATTGTAATTTGCTATAAAATGTATCCACGAGAAGTACTGTGAACATTACATTGTGAATTCTGAACGTAGCCATTCGTTTGTTTATACCATGCCATAATATAACATAACCTAAAACAATTATCACTTTTTCTTGTCGTGTTCTTTTACCAGTTTAGATAAATTATAATTGTTTTTAAAAATAGACAAATATTTTCTAAATCATTGTCTGTTGTTTTAGACCGCAATACCTGGGAAAAATTAATACTTTGTTTATTACCGAAAACAAAATGATTAGTTTCAACTAATATAAAAAAAAACAATTGTAGATAAATCGTTGTAAACAAGAAAATACATTCAACCCAATGAATGCCTACATTTTACACCAATTTATTATAATAGTAATTTACGTTTTAAGCCTGTTACCTAGATCTTTACATGCGAGCACGTAGAGATCAGGCAAAGGATGTGTATCGTACAACGTTTTATGATATACTGCAATTTACTACGTTTTACAATCTAAAATCAAATCAAATTTTATCATTAGACAAATTTCCGAATATGACTTAAAATAATGACAGTTCAGTTACAACTAGGGTTGTCAACTGTCCTTTTTTGAATAGGACAGTCCTTTTTTAAAGCAGAATGTCCTTGTGACTTTTTAAAGTTTAAAATGTCCTTTTTACGACATGTCGTTTTTTTGAGTTTGATTTGAGTTTGAGTAACAGCGCACATAGGTTGAGGACCTTTTTTTTAGAAGCTCGGTAGATTAGATTAAATTAAATTTAATTAGGACTATGGGCCATGTGGCCTCCCCCATCTCGACCTTTTCAGATCTATTGTGGGTATCCTTGAATCGTTGTTTAGAGTACTTTGTCTAATTCGGTCTTTTGTAATAGACTCTATGGACTGGGAAGTAGTTCTCTGGTATAGCTAGTTGCCCTTGGTTTTTTTCTCCAAGTGTAAGGAATCTTAGTCTTGCTAGACCTTCGCAGTAATACAATACGTGTACTGCCGTTTTCTCCTCTTCCTGACAGAATCGGCACAAGGTTTCTTCTGTCAGACCGATATTATATATATGTTTGTTAAGCCTACAATGCTCTGTTAATAGACCTACTAGTACTCTAGAATTTTTCCTATTAAGACATAGTAGATGCTCGGTGAGTTTAGGCGATGCTCCTTTTAGGAACTCTTTGGCGTGTCTCTATCCTGGAGAGTTTTTCCACCACTCTTGAGATTTTTTAAACATCCACTGCTTTGTACATGTTCTGATAGTTGTTTTTGTTATACCACAGAAAGGTTTTGGGCCATTAAGAGCATTTGAGGCTCCTTCTCAGGCTAAAAACTCAGCCTCTTCATTGCCCTTATGTCCTCTGTGGCCTGGTACCCAGGCTAAGGTTAGTATGTTTTGACTACCCAGCTCTGTTAGGGCTTCCAAACAGTCCCATACAAGCTTTGAGTGTGCCTGCATGGAACTGAGTGCCTTTAACGTCGCTTGACTGTCTGAGTATATGACAATGGTTTTTCCATTTACCTTCTGTCTTAATACCTCTTTTGCGAAGTAATGTATTGCTGCTATTTCTGCCTGAAATACTGTCGCATGTGTACCTAAGCTCAGTGAGATTCTTGTCTTTGGCTTGGTGTACTGTATATACCTACTTCTGAACCTTCATCGGTTTTGGAGCCGTCTGTATACCAGGTGAATTCTGCATGAATAGAAGGTCCTCCCATCCACGCTTCCCTCTCTGGTATACTTAATTTATATTGCTTTTGAAAGCTATACTTTGGGAGCATTTCATTCTAAAGGCATTTTCATTATTTGGTCGTTCTCCAACTCTTTATATAACTCACTGTAGTCACGTCCAAGCAAACTGCTTATGGATGATGAACCTTTGTGCAGTCTGTATGTGACAGACTTGGCTTTGCCTTGAATGAATGTATGTAGTGGTGTTAGGTTTAGCATGACTTCTATAGCTGCTGTTGGAGTCGTTCTCATAGCTCCCGTGGTACTCAGGCATACTTGGCTTTGAATACCATTGAGCTGTCGAATGGCTCCAACTTGCCGAGTCTTTGGCCCCCACATCATCGGCCCGTAGGTTATCATCGGCCTAATCACTCTGGTATATAACCATAGGGACATTTTCGGTTGTAGTTCTCAATTTTTTCCACACAACCTTTGATATAGGTTGAAGGATGTTGTGCTCTTTTGGGTGACTTTTTGCAAGTGTTGATTTCATGTTAACCTATGGTCAAAGATGACTCCCAAGTATTTGGCCTCTTGAGCAAATTAAATCTTCACTCCTTTCAGTACTGGTGACTTTAGTCCTGTTGGTAAGACAAAGAGGAAGATTTTCTTTCTTTCTTTTCTGCCCGGCGATCTTTTTTTTAGAAGCTTAGTTAGATGAAGAGGATTTCTTTCCTTCAGCTAGACGATCATTTTTTAAAGAAGTTCACTGGAACTTTTTGGACTTTTTGTATACCAGAGCCCCTGTCAGCGTCATTGTCCTTTTTTCACTTTTCAAAAAGGTGGCAACCCTAGTTTCACCTGACAGTTACAAAAATAATCCATTTATCGATTATATTTTTATGAAAATCGTTTTATCCGTTATAATTAATTGATTATTTTCGTTTTTTTAAGATAATGGAATAACTGATTTTATAGGAATGCAAAAAGAAAGTCATTTATTCAAAATAATCGACTGATTGAATTTTTTTTTAGAAAAATCGATTTATCGTTTAATCGGCTTTTTAAATTAATTGATTATATTCGATTAACAGAATATTTTCGATTACCAGAATATTTTCAATTAATCGATTATTTTGGATTTTTCAAAGATAATCGAATAATCAATTTTGAATCACATACGACAAAATAGGTTATTTGCTAATAATCAATTAATAATAATAATAATAATACTCTCCCTAATTCACCCCCTTACGAGTGAATTTTAACCCCAAAAGCTGAGCTTGTCCGGGGAAAGGGACGGCTATTATTATTATTTGCCGTGGCGCTCCGGGGCGACTTAAAGATGATTGATGGTGCCATTTGACTTACAGGTGAGGAAAACCCGGAAAACCTCACCCACCACCATTGATCGAAAACAATCGATTAGTTAAAATACTCGATAATTCGGTCTTTCTAAATCGATTTATCGGTTAATCAACTTTTTAATTAATCGAATATTTTTGATTTTTCAAAGATTATCGCATAATTTGTTTTAATAGAAATACGAAAAAAAAAAAATAGATTATTTGAAAATAATCGATTATTTAAAATTATTTTTTGTTAACAGTGATTTGTCGGTTAATTGGCTTTTTAATTAATCGTTTATTTGATTTTTTAAAGATAATCAAGTAGTCGATTTTAAGGGAAATACCAAAAAAACTAAATGTTTGAAAATAATCGATTGATCGAAAATAATCGATTGATCGAAAATAATGGATTGATCGAAAATAATCGATTGATCGAAAATAATCGATTATTATCAATGACCGATAATTTATTTCGATAATCACCCCCCCCCCCCTAGGGACTAAATGACTTTAATAGGTTTAAAGCTTAAAATGTTTTAAACATATGCATTTCTATAGTTTTATGTGACTCATCATCTATATTAATTAATATTCCTAAAGAAAGAAGCTTTAATATACCTTTTTTTTGGGCTACAATACAAAACAGCATTTTCTCATTTTGACTAATTTTTAATATTATGTGATAGCGAAAAAATATAATGTTCAACTCACAAGGTTTGATTTGCAGTATTCTCCTGCGCACATGCTTTTTTATAATACTTGTAGAGAATGAGTACCATTTCTTGCTCGATTAACAATATTCTATTTCAACATTTTGTAGTCTCTTGCAGAAAAGTCCGTAGTAAATAAACGCTAATGAAATATTCTATAAAAGGTCTTCTCTTTACATAAAATGTCGTAGCATCTGTTTGATATCAAAAAAATCATGTTAATTTTTTTTCACAATACAAAATTCCATTAAAAATCTTTTATAGTCATTTCATAGCCTTTCAGTGGCACGTTGAAAGAAATGCAAAAAACAGTACGTCCACTATAAATTTTCGTGACGCAACAAAATCATGAGAGATCAATACGTAGATATTAAATAACTACAATCACAAGATAAATTCTTCTGTGCTACAATTGACACAATACAGGCATTTCATTGGCTGCCGTTTTCTGTACGTTATGGCCTCATAGTCAAATTGAAATCTTGAACACGCTCTTCAGCTGTTTTTGATAAACGTCAAAGTGAACGTCTGACAGTTTTAATCAGACCAGTACTTCCATTAGTTCCATTTTTAATTATTGTGGTTAATCACATTTTTTTGAAGTTGGAATATTATTTTTTATTTATTTGTTTATTTTGATAATTATTAACATGCCGAGGTATAGCGAAAAAGAGCAAGCGTTTGTATTAAAACTGCTTGCTTATTTCCAATTAGAAAAACAAGCTAGTAAAACTCTATTGCCCGTAAATGCTGTACATGAAGTAAATTTTACATCTTAAAGTTTAGTAAAAATTAATTGATGGTCAATTAATTTTAGCGTCTTTCGGCCGCTTTAGGAATATCGCTATCGACTGTAGAACGATTGTCAAATGAA